CTCTATCATCTCAGACAGGTGCTGATAAAAATGACAGATACAGTAAGGGTAAAAAGTCATCATTTTTAACATTCAGCATCCATGAGAGTTCCTAAAAAGAAAGCCCAGAAAACAAGAAAGGCCCTAAATGAATATCCAGAGGAATGAACTAAGGCCAGAGAAGCTAAACTTGTCTTGACCCATTACTTATTTACTGGTGGATTCAAGGATAGACAGATTTCTGGAGTTCCAGTTTGTTATTCTCTTTGCCACTGTATTAAAATGGAAGAAAGTAAAGGGTAATTTGCAAAGAAAAGAAAAAGATTAATGGCAAAACAAAAAGCACATCGCCAACAGTTATTACACTATTACAATGTTATCTTAGTAGTTATAGGGCTTTCTATAAAATAGCTTTTTTTTCCCATTTTGGATAAGACGAGTTATTGTATTATTTTCCAATAAGCATTGGATGGTATTCATAATTTTTCTCCAGAACTTTTGACATTATTAAAAATCCCTTCGATTTTTATTAAGATACTCAAAATCAATCCTCACTGTGAGCATGAAGTATTTTAAATCATGCCTTGTTTGATTAACAAATTTGGAAATCTATTTAATAGGATCCAATAAATATTCAGTGCAGTCAGACATAGTTTTGAATACTTAGAAAGAAATACTATATCCTCTCCTTAAATGTGAACACCCTGCACTGTGGCATTCTGTTGTCTTAATAGTAAAGCGTGTAGCTTTTTTCAGTACAGAGTTCCTTTGGAAATAAAAATGAATTAATAGTGTTGTTAACTATAATGACTCATGCTAACACACAATGACTCAGCATTTTATTTTCTTCCAACACAAAATTAAAATGCAGTGTTTGATTAAGTTTGACTTGCCTGGAACACTATAATTTTGCATCAGATCTGTAGGTAAACGCAAGCCATTTGCCATCAGATGAGATGACCATACAGAGAATTGAAGCATTTAATTTCAGAAGTGATGTTCAAATAAATGTTTCTATTGACTTACGTTTGCAGTCAAATTCAATTAAGATGATAAAGTGCTATTACAAGATTATTAATTTTAGGAATTCATTGTTCTCATTTGGGCTTTCTAGATAATCAAAAATGGTGTAATCGTCTACCC